ATAGATAGTGTAAGTGATAGTAGCGATTCTGACAATTAATTTGGTATATTGCAATAGTTTATTGACTGTAATAAAAGACTGTGATAACGTGTCAACGTCAACGCGCTGGTGGGGAGTGACCGACTCGCTTGGGTGACCGACTCGCTTATGAACCACGTTATATCCCTTTTGTTTGTTTATTTTTTTTCTATCATTTGGGGTGATTGGAGCAAGCAGACAAAGTCAATTTTGTGCAATGTCACGCCATCATCACCAGCATGGTCATGGTATTCTCACGGTGCAACTTGGCAGCATATCATATCACTCTTGCTCATCATCCGACCACCCTTCAGGCATCCATCCAATACGTCTGGGCTTCCACATACCCAGCAATTTGACTGGCCCCTGGACCTTTTCCTTTTCCTTGTCTTTCCACTCACCGTCGGCCTGTCCAACAGGCATTGCCTCAGCAATACTATCCACGTCGACATGCATTGTCTGGCTTACACTGTCGTCCTCTCTCGCCGCAGCAAGCACAGCGCGCCACGACTCGACGTTGGTGACGTGTCCAGCCTCCAGCAGCGTCTCAGCCATCCGTAGGCTCCAGAAAGAAGGGGCGGAAAAGAGTCTTGCGAGTAGCTGCTCATGCGTTCCATGGTCCGACGAGTGTCGCCGTGCGGGCGCCCAGCTGTCAGACGTGACGACGTGTAGGGCCCACGCCAAAAGACCCTCTTTTACGGGGTCCCTCTCTGGGTCCACGGTTGTTTGCCCGTCTGAATTCATCTTCTGAATGAGGCGCTCCACCAGTACATGGACAGAGAGGACACGCGGTTCAGACCAAGCTCCTGTGCTAAAGGCAAGAAGCAGGGGCGTCCAGATGAGAAAGGCTCCCGACATGCTACTGCCCAGTTTCTTATCCGAAGGAAGAATCATCTCGGCGTCGACTAACTGTTCAACAAGGACACGGCGTACTTGGCTAAGGGGCGTGGTGGTTGTGTTGGATGAGAAGCGCAACATGTAGGTCGACAGGGCGGTTTCGGCAGCCGTGCTTTGCTCTTTTCGACGCTTGATTTCGGCCTTTCTGTCCTTGACATAGGTCTTCAGAATGCCTTGTAGCCTGTCCTTGATGGCGTCTCTACTCTCTACACCCAGCTCCTCGTCCTCGTCTGCGCGTGCACATGTAGCGGTGGTGAAGGCATAGTCCAACTGGGTCCAGTACCAGTCCCATAGCCACTCGAGAGATTGGGTAGCGGCGCGCTTCAACTCTGCCAGCGACGGAAGATGCCGATGGACGATGCGGTGTCGTGTTTCCAGTAGAGTGAGGGGTAGCTGGAGCGACTTTCCAGAAGGGAACCAGGAGGGGCGGTCACGAGTCAAGTCGATCTGGGTGTCTGCCAGACCGGTTACAAATCTACGGGGTTGGTGTCATCTTTGTCGGTTCCGACTAAGGTTGCAGCATGCAGGTGGGAGAGAATGTGGGCGGAGCAAGACGAACAGGTCGAGTGGCGCGGACAAGGAATGCCGATGATAGAGTTCCAACTCGACCACGGCCAGATGGGACAAGGATCGGGTGTATTACGAGAGAGAGAGAGAGGGAGCGAGGGAGCTGACGTTGTGGTGAAGAAGGCCTACCTGGATAGTGCCGTGGCATAGAGCAGGCGCAGGGCATTGTGCGGCAGAGAGCCCCTCGCGTCTTGCAGCATTACATCAACAATGTCTGCCGTGGACTCGAGCAGCAGAGGCAGGCCGTCTGGCTTGCGCAACCGCCATGCGAAAACCTAGCTGGCCATCAGCTGACTGGGCAGCATGACGTGGCGGATGGGCCTCTGAGGGGGGGGGAGGGGGGTCGCGGCTGGCTTACCTTGCGGACAGCCCTTTGTCTTTTGGACGTGTCGGAAGCGTACAAGTCCTGGCGTAGCTGAAGCAGCTCATAGCTATTGCGCCATGCCGTCGCCACGAATCGAGTATTTGAGTCCATGGCGGCTTTAATCTGGGCGTGGCGGGGCCCTAACGCGATGTGAAAAGCAGCCGGGTCTGCACAGGCTGCAGGCAGCGATTGGCGGGGGGGGGGCGATTACGTCGCAGATGCGAGGCACGTGAGGACGCGTTGGTATGCACAAGGGCCAAAAGGAAAAGAAGGGAGGAAGAAAAAAAAAAAGGGCCAGTGGTGGGAGTGGAGGGGATTAGCGCCGGGCTATGCCCGGATGGCGGGCATGGCGTGTACTAGTACGTGGTGTATGGCAGTCTGGCGAAACGCAATCTCACCCCATATTCTGGAACCTGTGCCGTCTGAAATGCTATTGCGCGCTACGTGGTTAGCCTCCGGGCGTGGCCCAGGCAGGCATGCATGTCGTCGGCGTCGAGGGCGTGCGAGTGCGAGTGCGGGTTGGGAAAGGCAACTGTGGCGGGTCTCGCCGAGGTTGGGCGATGCAGACGATGCAGAAGCAGAAGCATCATGGAGCCAGATGCAGCCCGTTTGACGGCTCGCGGGCGGTCGGACCACGGCGTGGCAGCCCGCCAGCCAGTTAGTCGGTCAGTCGGTCAGTCGGCCAGCCAGCCAGCCAGCCCGCCAGCCAGGCGAGACGGCACGGCGCTCGAGTCGACGCAAGTGGAAGATGCATTGCTCGACGGATGAGGCTGAGGGGGCGGCATTAGCTGTGGGCGTGGGCGTGGCCATCGGGACTTTGCCGGCGCCTGTGACAGCATTGCGTCGTGCTTCATTTGCGCTGCCCAAACACTGGGACCTGACCACATGGATCCGGATGCCGCGGCGACATGACGCCGACGCGCTATTTGCTGCTACTGCTACTGCTGCTGCTGCTGCTGCATCGGCGGCCTGAAGAGAGAAAATGAGACAGACAGAGAGAGAGAGAGAGAGAGACCTAACCTGTCGTCTACATGGCAATACGTCTACAGTCTGCGTCCCGTCCTCACAACTGACCATGTCCCGTCATGCTAACATGTCTTTGATTGCTTTCGCCCACGCCTTCTGCTATGCTACTAGTATACAGTACAGTCGCGTCTTCCATCTGACCTCGTGTGAGCGATACGCCAAGTCTTTCTCTCCTCCTCCTCTCTCTCTCTCTCTCTCTCTCTCTCTTGTTATGCCTGCGAAGGCTGGGTATCTCCATCTCTGTCTCTACCGGTCTTATCCGGCCCCCAATCGGGTCCATGCAAAACGCCATGCTGTGCTAAACCAAAAATAGTAAAAATAAATACCAAACCCCCCCAATGCTCCCTTGTGCCCGGTGTTTGAGTAGCACCAAAAGGCCGTTTGAAACCCGCCTTGTCCCCCCCCCTCACAACCACCCGTATCCCAGCCCGCCCTCCCGCACTGGCATCGAGGGCTGCTTGACCTGTTGAAACCACCACTCCTTGGACACGGTCTCGTCTTCGTCAAAGAAGAAGCTCTGGCCTTCCATGCTGCTGGGCGTTTGCGATTTGACATGAACCGCCATGTGCTGCACCTGCTCGTCCACGGGCGGCAAGGGTGGTGACGGCTCCTCGACACTGCCCTCGGAACTTGCGTCATCGTCGTCCTCGTCGCCATCCTCTTCGGGCGGCTGCCACGTTTCTTCCAGTTTGAGGCCCTTGCCTTGGCTGGGTGCCCCCCATGTCAGAGATGGCTCGGGCGCGTCGTACAGTCCCAGGGCCACTAGCTTTTCGCCCTCCTCCTCCTCTTCCCCATCCATGTCTTGGTCTTGCTGACCCCGGTATGCCATGGCTCCGTCATCCTCGTGCCCCTCAAAAGCCTGTGCCTGGTTCTTCTGTGCCCATTGCTGCAGATACCACGGCAGCGGCTCCGACCTTGGTGTGTTGGTGCACGAGTTGGCGTAGCCGCCTGTTTGTTGACACCATCCATAGTCGGAACCAGCTGGCGCACTTGTCATGGGCTCCAGCATCGAGTTGCGTGCTGACAGCGAGTAGTAGTCGGAGCCATGGCAAGAGTTTCGTGATGGCGAGTAAGCTTGTGACCACGGCTGATGCGTCATGGGCTCAAAGTAGTTTGTTGCTTGTTGCACAGCTTGTTGCTGTTGTTGTTGTTGTTGTTGTGACTGGAGCTGAGACGAAGCAGGATGCCAGCTCACAGGTCGCGTGGATTGGGGTCGCTCTTCGGCCTCTTCCGCTTCTACGCCAAACATCATCCGGTAGTGGTCGTCGAGCGTAGCATACAGCTTGGTCTCGGACGTCGTCTTTCTCCTCTCCATGGCCTTTGGGCTGTTGTGGTGGCTCTTTGTCTTTTCAATCCGTGACGAGCGGCATGCTGCTTGGCTGACTGAGCCACGCGAGGTGCGTCGGTGGAGCTGTGATGGTTGCATGTGGCCAGACATGTTGGCGAGATCGTATGTTGGGAAGCAAGTGGTCATGTATTGGTGGTGGTAGTTGGGGGGGTGTGTGTGATGAGTGTTGATGTATCCTCAAGGGTTGTAGGCGTGTATATATGTGTGTGTGTGAGTCGGTCACGATCCGTCAGGTCGGACTTTGTAGAGAGGGTGCCATGGCCTGGGGGAGGGGGGACATCTGCATAGGTATATCGAGTGCCAAGAGATATAGACGGATTGGGAAGGGTGGGATGGGGAAATTGGAACACTGTACCCTCGCGGCAAAAGTCATGGTACACGGAGAGGCAGGCAGGGCTAGGGTAGGATAGGCAGAGTCAAGAACAAGTAATAGTGGGATAGATGCAGACAGGGAACGGGTGCGTATTGACTATACGGAGCCACCAAGGCATGGCTCGGAGGAAGTGGGAGCGCTGCGACGACTAGGGCCAGTGGCACGGCTGGCACCATCAACCAGCGACATGGGTGCAGAAAGCGAAAAGGAACGCCTGCCATGACCAAATCACAGGGCAGGGAAGCCGGGCGAGCAAAGGGACCATGTATCATGGCGCAGCGCGCGACGGAGCATCCGTGCAGCTAGACGACGGCCGGCTCTTGTCGAGACAGGGCAGGACTGGGACTGAGACTGGGACTGGGACTGCAGGCCAGGGAAACCACCACGGGTGCAGGCCATGATGGCAGAAAGCGGTAGTGCGACTAGGCCGAGGTGGGACTTGCAGTGCGACTCAGCTGGGCTCCACGCCGGGGGGGGGGCGCGCGAGTGTCGTGTGTGAGAGCGCATGGGTGCGGGTGCGGGTGCCTGTGTGTGCTGTGTGAGCGAGTGCGTGAGTGTGGGTGTGAGTGTGTGGGCTGTGGGCTGTGGGCTGTGGGCTGCGGGCTGCGGGCTGTGGGTGTGTGTGAGGGTGGGTGGGTGCCGTGGCTCTCCAGGCGGTCTACTAGCCCTGGCCGTGTTGGACAAAGGACGGTGGGTGCATGGCGGCGGCGACGCCCTCACTCGGTAGTGTCATGTTTTAGCCGCGCCTGAGGGGGAGAGGGGGGGGGCATCAACGCAACGCAACGCACGCAACGCAACGCAGCGCAGCGCACATAATCGCCAGGCAGTGGGGGGTTGCAGAGGCCGGCGATACTCGTACCCTACTGGAGAGAGGGAGGGGGGGCCAAGGCCGCCAGCCAGCCAGCCAGCCAGCCGGGGCGGCGACGATGTGGATGGGTGGTGTTAGACGAGCCTGTGTGGCGGCGGCGGCAGCTGCAGCAGGAGCAGGAGCAGCGGCATCGCGAGATCAGGGGCGTCGGCGGATGGATGGATGGACGGATGCAGTATTAGATGGATGATGGCGGTGGTGGTGGTGGAGTGGACGGGGGAGGGGGGGCAGAGTTTGGCTGGCGGCAGTAGTTTCGGAAAAGGGTGGAAGAAGCGGATAGCGAGGTTGGGAGCTGGGCTGGGCGACGACTGTGTTTTGGCGAGGGCGGGCGTGCAGCCAATGAGAGGCAGGCATCCACAGGCGCAGTGCCCCCCCCTCCCCCTTCCCCCCAGCACCGGCACCACCACCACCACCACCACCACCACAAGCACCCGGCACGCTGCACCCACTACTGCCCACGCCTAACGCCCATGTACGACCGACCACTGCTAGCTGCTAGCAGGTATGGAGTAGTCTGCTATGTATGTATCGACTAGGTGTAGTGCAGCACGCACCCGGCTCCCAGCACCCTGCGCGCCCAGCAGAGCAGCACCCCAGCAGCATCCCAGCGCGGCATCCCAGCACGGCATCCCAGCAGCCCAGCACCTCCTGCTTGGTCGCGCGTGCAGCCGGCAAACCACAGCGCTGGCCCATGGCTATCCAAGCGCGATCTGGGGTGGGCGCTGGGCCGCCGCCGCCATTGGCTCTGCGCCTAGACGAGCGCCTTCCAGAAATCGCCCCTGCGACTGCGCGACGTGCAACGGGGACCGCGAGCCCATGACAAGGCGCCTTTGCAGAGCGAATGCAAATGCACCATCACACACACATGCATCGCCCGCCTGCGTCACACACCCAACGGCGCGACCAGCCCAGAGCCCACATTGGTGCAATCACCACGGTATCCTTGGCACACCGCACGCCTGCCCGCCTGCCTGCCCCTCGCCCTCGCATCAGCCTTGCAACCCCCAACATCGAGCCGCCCCCCAGTGCCAGTCCGCCCGCCCGCCAGCCAGCCAGCCAGCCAGCCAGCCAGCCAGCCGCTCCGTCATCACTCACCCTCTCTCTCTCTCTCTCTCTCTCTCTCTCACACACACACACACACACACACACACACCTTCACGCGCACCCACACCCTCACGCACTCACGCAACAAGCCGCCTGTCTTGTCCGCCGAAGCATGGACTGCCGCCCACGACGGCTCGCGCCCAGGCGCCGCCTCGTACACGCACACTGGGGCCTGTGTCGAGCCTGCCCACCCTGGCTGCACCTAGGCACCGCCGAGCAACACTGAGCGAGAGAAAAAAAAACCACTTTAACGTTTGCCCAGCGCCGTGCTCCACTGCAGCACGCCTTGAAACCATGTGCACGCTGCTAACGTCGAGTATCGGCCTTGGACAACCGAGCCACCGGTCTGTTGATCGAAACACGCCCATTGTGGGCCTCCTCCACGCTGAACCGCTGCATCACCTCCCGGCATTATTGACCACCGGGCTCACTGTGCCCGACATGGCGATACGCGCGTTCACAAAAGTGGCATGTCATTTTTTCTGTCCTGCTCAGATCGTCGACCATCGGCTACCCCACCGCCCCCCCTTGCGCCTACTATAGTCTGTACCCCTCGACCGACATGGGCACTTGGGACGGGATAGGTAATCATGCACGCCGGCACATTGCTCACCTGTCGCTGCTCCCCCCCTCCCCATCACAACCACCACGCCTGCACCGGCCTGCCTGCCTGCCTGCACTACTGTAGACGCCAAGCACAGGCCCTTTCTCCTCAGGCCTCCCTGGCCACAACCCCACGGCGACCGCGCCCAAACCGGCAATGCCGTTCGATGACCAGAAATCCCCGGAGCGGGCTGATGAGATGCAGCCGAAGCGCCGAGAAGGAACCCTGGTTTCGTCCCGCCTGAATGATCGGCAGCGGTCCAACACGGGCACAAGCATGGTTTTGGGCGTGGTTCAAACGAACAGCATTCTGTCAGGGGGGGATGCTGGCATGTGCTCGCCAAAACAAGTATACGGACTCTGATGGATGCCATTGTCTCCCTGCAGCACCTCCCTCCACCATGGCATATGCCCCCCCGAAAAGAAAAGAAATCGAAAAAAAAGCCTCTTATCAACGGCCACTTGGCTGCATCAGAACGAACACCCCCGCGTAATATCGCGCTCTCGACGTTGACATGGATGCTGCGGGCAGCCGGCTCCCGCCTGCATCCTGTTTGATTGATGGATGGATGGATTATTCGTGCCAGCGAACAATTCCGACATGACACGTCCAGCCTGGTCAAGACTTGCAATTCCCAGCGTGGGCGTCAGTGAGCCATATTGCCAGCTAGTGCGACCCGTAGGAGAACGAATCGCTGCGCCCTATCCCGTGATGCAGCACATCCCGCGTATCACACACGCCCACTATGACTCTGCACCAGCCAGCCTCGGTCATTTTGGTCGACGCAAAAAAAAAATTGCGGCGCAGCTGTGCTACGCTGTGCACCACACAAGAGGTGTGCTGCTATGTACTGAGCAAAATAAGCACCGAGCTGCCACCGGAGAGCCTGCTCTGCACGGCAGCCCGTCGCTTGCTTGCTCGTACTCTCTTGGACACACACACACACACACACAACGTCTCCATGTGTGCGTGTCTCCGTCTCTCTCTAGCCGGCAAACCATCGCATCGAGGTGTTGGTTGCGTGCTGACCTGCATCCTGCCGCTATTCGTCAGCTGCTGGCGAGTCGGCGAGTCGTGCATGGCTTTGGCACAAGACAGGCTTTGCAGGTCATGGCACTATTGGGGCGACGCCGTGCCTCGCAGCCGTCTTGTGCGCTGCTGGTCTTGGTCTCATCAATCGAGATGATCAAAGACTGTCGTTTCAACAAGGCCGTCTCCGGGCTGCCTCGGTCGGGCGCACTCTGGTTGGGTTTTGACGCGGCGCGGGTCCTGCACTCCGCCAGCTGCCCATCTGTACCAGGCCCAGTCCGGCAATCTGCAACACGGGAAAGGAACCCTGGAATGACGTACCAGTACGCGGTCCACGAGTCGGGTGGGTCTCAAACGTGGCGTCTCATCGTGGAAAAGCCCGTGGAAAGAACAAAAATTGCGGTATAAGCGGCACCGCCTACGCTAGCCACTCACAGACCAGCCATCACGATACCCTGCCGATAACAAAGGCCATCTCCACATTGGGTCGGCAGGGCCATTCTCTGCGGCAGAGGGGGGAGGGAGGGTAGCTGATTTGGCCTCCACATGCGTGGTCCGACACCGACTCTTATTTTTACTCTTGCAGGCACAGGCAGGGTGGTGCTGCCGCCTCGCCCTCGTATTCTAGTAGGTGTACTTACTGCCCCCCCCCTCGTCCAAGCACAAGCACAAGCACAACACCCAGGCGGCCTCGCAGCAGCGCGAATGCGTCGGGCGCTGGGGAACGCAAGGCTAGCCACAGGCGCAGCACGAAGCGAGCAAGTTGCATCCATAACAAAGAATGGGCTCGGTAGCCGCATTATTTGTGGATGACGACGATCTCGAGTAGGGTTGGCTCGCATGCCTGCGATGCGTGGTCTAGACCCCCCTCCCACTAGGGCGACGTCAAACGCGAAATTCTCTTGCGGGCGCGGCGGCACTTTATCCTTGGGTGCAGGCGCGAGCATTAGCCTCACCAGGCGGCTCGACAAAGGTCGACTTGTTCAACGTCGAGCATCAGGCGGCCAATCGCTGTTCTCCGTCGCATGCTCCCGGGGGTGCCTTGATCAGCAGCCACACTAATCGTCGGTGAGGGAGCCTCCTGGCGCTCGACTTGACATTTGCCGGTTTGAGTCGCACTATGCATCTCCAGCACCGCTTGCTAACCCATCTCTAGCTCGGGCAGGCGTGGGCAATGGCATTCGCACATGAGTGAGTGACATGCGCGCTGATGGCTATACGCTATTTGGCCGACTCAGCAGCCGCCTGCTCGTCCATGTGCAGGTTGCAGGTACCGTACATGAGCAATAAAAACGCACGCCGCCATGTCTTCGTATCCAACACTCTCATTACTTTTGCACAAGCCCCCTGTCAGTGTGACCATTGTAGGGATCAGAGAGTCGTCTGTACTCGGCTTCACACGGCGCGTCGCAGCTGAAACTTTGCATTCGCTCGACTTTATGCTAAGTGCCCTGCCACCACAGCAGATTCAGCCATGCTGCATCTCCGCAAAACCCGTCTCCACTCTTGGGACGAGGGTGGGGGGGCGTGGTGCGTCGGGTGGTGACTCGTTTTGAGGCACCATGGGCGTTTGTTTTACTTTTTTGCCGCTTCACAGTGAACCAAGCTGGACCGGTCGCATCGCTCTTTGGTTCGCTTTTTTTTTTCTCTGACAGCATCCCAAGGGATGCAACGCGTACGAGCGAAGGATTCCGGCCGTCGTCATGAATCAAGGCAGGAGGATCAAGGCGCCTGCTGATGCAACAGGCGCCGACATGGCAGCTAATATAGAAGCAAAGTTTTTTCTCAATCAGCAGAGCAAGCAAGCACACACGCACAGCACTCACCACCCTCTCTGACGGTATCCGAGGTCGGGCCAGCTGGGCACACGACGCTTACTCGGTACGGTTACACGACCGATCTGACCCTTTGTAATACTGCGCACCAAAGCGGAAATGGCACTCCGCTTTAATCTTCCAGTGGCCGCCCCCTAGTCGCAATCCTATACAGCAGTCAGTATTCGCCTGTAAGACGTGTGCTTGGAACCTGCCAGTCATGCATCCCACCGCCGTCACATCAGCCGATGTGTCAAAAGCGACGCCAGTTCGGTGCTACTGCGTGCATCCCGACGGACAAGGGCACTCCTGGATCTGCCAACTGAGACCTGCTCGCCCGGCGGCGACACTCGTTTGCAGGTACCTCGTCGTCAGGTGTCATGACGGTGCAGACTGGGCCCGCGGATGCTATGCATGCTAGGCCTACACTACACTACCAGCTACCTCCATACCTGCACCATCCGGTTTTTCACCTCACCAGATCGACAAACCGCCTGTCGCTGTGCCTCTAGGCCGCCTCCAGCAGGCTAAACCGTGCTTACGTGGTTGATCACAAAGGCTGCCGCAACCACTCAGCACCGGCTGCATGCTCTATTCCCATAGCGAGCAAAAGCAGTCACGCCTGCATGGCCCTGATTAGCGGGGCCTCTGTATATTGAACGCCTATTTTGTGTTGGACAAAGGGAGAAGCCGGCGTGCCGTGGTCATCAGACTGGCTGGGAAGGCAGTTGTGGGGGGGGGGGGGAGGGAGGGGGGAGGGAAAAGGCGGCAGGCCGGGCACCATAAGCGACTTGCGTACACTCTGCGCAGCGATCAGGCCTTTTTGTCTCGGGGGCCCAACCGATGTTTTCGCGCCGCTGCGGCTAGGTCCATGTACGAGGACGCGCTCCACCACCATCGCCCGCCCGCAACACTACCCCTCCTTTAAGTAGCGTCGACAGCGATCCACGGCCTGGCACAACTTGGAACTGCCCACCCTCCCAAACAGACCGCTCGAGCATGATGGCGACGACACAGCAGGGTGGCTTATCCTCCGGTGTGTGTTTCATCACCCTTTTATTTTTCTTTGCTTCCGCTTTTCCCGCTGCCCACCTGGTGCCCAACAATCAGTTGCTAGCCTGTTGATCGCATCCATGCCCACACCAAGTGGCACCCTCTGTGGTTATAGTTACCCACCATATATACACCATCGACCCCGTGGATACATGCAAGCGCGCCCGCTTTGCGAAGCTGCGTAGTCCATCCTCCAGACTAACTTTTGCCATGACTTCAGCTCGTGTGTGTGTGTGACTTTCCGCATCCGTGGATACCCTTTCACGCTTAACGCCAGCGCACCCGTTGGCCCTGCGTGGGTTATTGCTTTTAAACCATGTCATGGTCAATATACCCTGGAACGTGTTGGACCGTCGACTGTTATGTATCACATTGAGTAGCTCTCCGGAACCAAGAATGTCCGGATCATGGATGCAACTCACCGACAATCATACCTCTACACGATTACGAGTAGACCCAAGCCTGTTGCGCCCACAGTCGTCGCCCACACCCATGCTACTCCTTAAACACAGCCAAATCAAAGGCTGTAACACTGCCGAATATACACCGTACACGGCTTATGCGCAGGCATAATGGTTGGTAATATCCACAGGCGATTGTGGAAAAAAAATCCATGTCAGATTGCCAAAAGAAAAATTATGTTGGGCGTACCATTTGCTTATTCGCCCAGGCCATGAACTTGTTTTGTCGCAGCCATCACTCGCTCAATCATTGTCGTTTGCCTAGCAAGCGAAGTAGCTCAGGACCTTTCCGCCTCCCCCGATTACTCGCAGCCAGGTACACGTATGTACACATATGTACAACACCTGACGGGCCGATACACATAGGGGCATGCCTATAAGAGTCTCTTATTGGACAGTGCCCAAAGAGGAAAAAGCAGTGCTTTCCTCGCCACCACCACCGCCACGACCCTCGTTCAACGGCTCGGGAATAGAGGGGGGAAAAGCGTCATACATGCACATGCTGGATTGCTGACGAGGTATGTAGGCCAAGCTTCTGCTTCCATGAGGGGTGTCATCGGACGGTGTTCGGTAGATGCATGACTGCCGATCATGACGAAGCACGCCGCAGTCTCGTGTTCTTGACTTTTTGTTGGAGCGCGAACCCCAGAGTGGTAATCCGCAAATGCTAGCGGTGAATGGCCTTATAAGGGTCAATTCCCATGCGACAATGGTGGGCGGGGGGGTTTAATTTTCTTCCGCGCGGAGTCGGGCCTAGGCTATCCTTTGTCACGCACAAGCATACCAGGCACACGATGAGGTGAGATCTGCAGTGTAATCGTGACGTCGTCGATCTTTGTACTTGTGAGATAATATCTGCCTTGTCTTAATAGCCCGGAAACCTAGTGCATAGTACTCACATACTGTATGGCATTGTGCCCACCAATCGGGTGCACTGCACATACTGACCGGCCTCTTGGGAGTCTGGCACTCCACACGTACGTAAATCTTACTTTCCCTTTAACACACAGACGCGCAGTGCCTTTGCAAAGAAAAAAAAATCGATCGGCGAAAAAAATCACAGCGAGACCCCCGTATTAGACATGATTTTATGAAGCCTATCGTGCGGTAGGATCTCTTGTCGATCCTTACCAAAGCACAGTAAGCTGAAATGTAATGCAATGTCTCTTTGATCAAGCAACTATCCGCTCTACAGTACATTTGCCTGTAGTCATGCTCATCTCTTGCTCGCTACACATTCCTAAGCCTCCATGTACCCATGTGTCTGTGTGGAGCTGGTGAGGTGATATTTTTCTCATCATTGTACACCACCCTTTATTTTTTAAAAAAAAAAAAAATTCTTCCTCGCCGAAATTCGTATTCTGCCGTTGAACCAGCAATGGCCCAAGGTCCATACCAGATCTGCGTTGTTCATCTCAATCCTTCGTCTGACCTCCCTTCTGTGGCTCCCTCATCATGCAAAATAACGTAACGGCGTCTTTCTCATCCTCGCCGTCCTTGCACTCCATCTCCCTCACAAGCCTAAACCCAAATTTTTCATAAATGGCCACATTCGGTATCCTCAGACTACTCTCCAGATAGCACCTCATGCCCTCGTTATCCGCTCTCCTGAGCACCTCGTCCATCAGCGCGCGTCCCACGCCTTTGCCCTGCCACTCGGGCAACACGGTAACAATGTTACAAAAGTAGTATCCGCGCTCATCTGTCCAGAGTTCCTTTTGGGCCTCGGCTTGCCGCTCTTTCCAGATCCAGTAGCGCTTGGTGTTGAGACCGCCGCGGCCGAACCACAGGTTGATCCTGATCTGGTTGAGCCAGAGGTACCAGTACGAGAGGTACAGGGACCATGATTCTGGTTCCGAGGTGCGCCGCGGTGGGAGCCACATTGCGCAACCAACAACGGTAGAGGGCGCCGACGTGTCGCGCGCCACGAGGAACATGCCGTGGGCAATGCCCCAGCGGCAGCGCTGCCAGAGCGAAGCGCGGTTGCGCGTCAGCGAGATTTTGCTGCGGTCTGGGTAGATCCAGTGGTTGTAGGGGTCGTCGGCAAAGGCTTCCTGGATTGTCGTGATTGCGCCGTCAATGTCGCCTTCCGTCATTGGAGATACCTGAATCGCCATTGTGAGCTGCTAGCAGTGGCAATCCAATGAGCTGCTGGTGTCAGTGATGCTTCACGGCGGCGGCGGCGGCGGCGTAGTAGATGGAGGGGTAGAAGGATGTGCTAAGAGCAGCGAGATCCCAGGCCGAGTCATGGTGAGTACGGCTTTTTTGCGTGAAGCCCGTTGCATGCAGCTGTGGATAGATGATGGACGGGTTGGGAAGGTCGAAGCGACGTCTGGTGCGGGGCTGTGGATGTGCTGATAACCGTAAAACTGTAAACCACTTTACACGTCCAGATGGCAGCTTTTTCCCCGTATGTCTGGGTATGAACTTTATTCTTCTGGTATTATGTATTTTTGCTTGACCGAGTGTGTTCATCATCTGCAGGGGTTGTGCTACAGAATTGTTGTTGACATACTGTCTAGATGACGCCAGTACAGTTGTCAAGTATAAGTGGACTTGACCCTCAAGTAGCGAATTGCATACTAGAGCATAGAGTATGATGGAAGGAGGCAAAGAGATACCACCAGCGTGCTATAAACGATCAGTCATTCGGGTCTGTACAATCAACGTTGGAGAAGAAAGGGGCGGCTTTGCCGTCAAGACGTCGCATTCAGGTCATGGACTTGCTGTGCAATACTATCTATTCTACAGTCTAGCTGAACTGGTAAGACGTACCATTTGTGGCTCAGATGTTTGTAGTTCCGCAGTTTGCAGTTCAACCACTTAACCTCGCTCTTCTGCGAGATGAAATTACTTTCCACCCTTATCTAACTCTACTTGAGTAATCCCTTTCTTTCTTCCATGCTATTCCTGCTCGACTTTGGAAAGGCTCTGTATAATCTTTGAACCACTAGCGTTCTGGTATAGTCAAAGAATCTGAGGCGAGTGTACCAAGTTGGCTTACCCATTGCCATCTGCATGGTTTGCTTCACGAAATCTAAGGGATATACGTAGATTGGTTTGAGAAGGGCCTTGGGCCAGAGGAATCCTATCACAGTATAGTGACCAACATCACATCATGTGAGATTTTGAGATTGAAAACTAGTTAGAGGCTGATCGACTGTGGCCCCAAAGACCTAATAATTTTCTTTATCATACTAGATAAATAGAGTACCGTGCTGACAACATAATACTACACCAATTGCATCGTGGAACTGTGAGATACTGATGTTCCATAAATATTTTTCTCTCTAAAGGCTTCGTTGGAGTGGAAAATAAAATGCGCCAGCTCTCTCTAACTTACAACGCTTCAGGGCTGGAAATTAGAAAACGAGCATCGTAACGCTAAGTTTACTAGGGTCTCTAGAATTCGGGTACAGCTCGCGGATTGATCTCTTCGGGATTGTACGTCGAACTTCACAGTTGTTCCCCACCGGGAGCCTATCATGCCTGCTCTACTCCCGACATCAGCAATACATCGGGGACCTGTTTGATCTTGTCAGTGCCTTACAGACAGGTACACGTCAGGATACAAGCCAATCTAATCTCATCATATGTAGAAAGGGTCAAGTCACATTTTCATGTAAGAGAAACTCCGCTAATTCAACAGCCATCGTAGTGTATCAAATAGGCAGGCAGGCCTTCGTTACTTAGTGCTGCAGCCGAACAAAAACCGAGTATCAGTACCCACAGAGAACTGGCTCCACTCCACTTACGCAAACTGCATCCAGCACAATGCCAAAGGAAAAAAAAACATAAAACAGCGGGTATTCGCCAGTGGTCACCCGCCTGCCTACTCACCCGCCGGTCAAAGTTTTCTCGTGTGGCGATCGAACGGGAGCCGGAAATCCACTTTGCCTGTGGTCGTATGTGAAAGAGCAGGGTGTCATGCTGTAGATAGGCAGGACGATGACTCGGTCCGGGTCAAGCAGACCGCTCCACCTCCCATGCGATACAAGACGTCGCAGGATAAAGGGGGAAACCGTGAATTGAAAAGAAACGAATGTGGCACAAGCTAGGCTGTAGAAATTCCGTGCGCACGTTTCGAAGCAAAGTCGACATCTCTTGCGATCCCAATAGCATTTTTTATTCCATGAGAGTTTTCTTAACACATAATCTATCGCTCTATGAGCTCCACTCTTTAAACGCCTTTTGCTTTTGCCTGCTATTCCACTGCAAAGTCCTCGATATGCTGTCAATCCAATCTGTCCTCCTCTTGTTCAATGGCAACACACTTGGAAACGGAAAACGGCTAGCACTGATAGTAACGTAATCACCAGGCTTGAGCTCTACTCTTTCTCTTCCGTCAAAACTGGCCCAGGAGCTCGTCCTTGCGTCATAGGGTACACCACAGCGTAGCACAATGGTGTCGGGCAGGATAATAGGTCGAAAAGAGAGCGTGTGTGCGCATATCGCCGTCACGAGTACAACCGGGTTGTCAGGATGACAGAGTGAGCCGCCAGCTGCGAGGTTATATGCGGTGGAGCCGGTGGGTGTGGATACACAAATGCCGTCGGCCTGAACCGTAGTAAAGTGCTCGTCATCGCCAAACAACTCGATAGACGACATGGTTGGGTTGGGCCCTCGGTCAACGACCACCTCGTTCAAGATGTTGTGCGTCCCATCCGAGTAATGCGTATGGTGGTCCTCCGACTCTTCGCCAATTAGCTCCTCGACCAAATCGCGTCCCTTGCCATCGCGCTGTTGCGACCGCATCACAGTGGCTTCAAAACGGAGACGTAGGCTGACTGTGATACCATCTGCGAAAGCCAGAGAGAGTGATTGCGGGTACAATTCAAAATCGAATTTGGTGAGAAAGCCGAGAGATCCTAGTGAAAAGGCAATGGTTGGAGGCACGATGCGCTGGAAGAGCCAGGATGCGTACAAAACCGTCCCGTCACCGCCTAGCTGTGCGCTTGTCAGTAGTGCGCGGTGAATATGATTGCGCCGTCATACCGCCAAGACTATATCAAAGGTCTGTGGCCTCTCGGCGCACATCTCGTTGGTCCAGAATTTGAGACGATTCTTGACTCCGTCTTTTTCCAAAAGTCCAGCAGTGTCGAAAATGTTGTTGTCCTTGAGCGTTTGCTCCACATAGCTACGCCTTGTCAATGGAGCACTTGCAGCGTAGAGCCAAAACATACACTGTATAACCCGAATCCTTGGTCAACAACCACTCGGTGACCTCGCGAGAATGCTTGATAAGGGTTTCGTCGTGGGCTTTGCCTAGTATGAAGATATTCTTGACGTGCAGCTTCAGGCGGATTTGCGAGAGCTTCTTGGACAGCTCTCGGATGCCAAAAGCCATGTCTGAAAGCTCCTTCTTGGTCAACAGCCGTGAGTGCTGGGCCTGCTGGGCATGTTGAGCGCGCGACGCGTGCGGGTCCTTGTCCACGCGGCGCTCTTGGGCGAGGCCTTCATAGGACTGCGAGTGGTCTTGAACGGGCAAGCCGTCGTGCTTTTCGAGTAGCGAGTGGACAATGCAGGCGGTCGTGCGGCGGTTGTTTTCGGGGCGCGACGTCATCTTGCCCGAGGGATGCGGTGCGAGCGAGGCTTTGCGGCGATGGCCGTTGTATCCGCCCTCGAAAACCACCTGGCGACGTTGGTCAGGGGGAGAAGCAAAACCCAGGTCGGGGGGCGTAGGTACCTCTAGCGCATCGTCATGGCTGTTCACGCTGGCGATACTCTTGGAGTCTTGGTCACCAAGCTCGCTCTCAATAAGGAAGTTAGTCTCAACGCATCGTTATGACGTCTGCCAGACGTAGGCATAGGTACCTCGATTGCCCCCTGGATGTTGGAGCTGAGTTGGTCGAAATAGCCGGGCGGCATGATTGCTGGCTGGAGCGCGCAAGGACAGAGCGACTCGAGATATCAGAGGTACCGCTGGTGTTCAGTACCGCGTCCTTTTGTAGCGTGTGCCGTACGTCGAGGGCTGCAAGAACTGACGCGCTGCCGCGGCCCACTTTCTGAGGGGCAGCCGGTGCGACCCCGCCGAGTGCCAATCACAACCACCAAGCGCCGATGAGATGAGCAACAGGCATTCTTACTCAGCTCGCACTCAATTGCCCTCTGGATTATCTGTGGCCCGTATCCCTGCAGTCGTCTTGCTGACAAACAGTGCTACTGCTATAGCGGAACCTCCACTGACTCGAGCACCTCCTCGATGACGTCTTCGACCGTGACACCTTCGAGGACGGCCTTGACAGCTTCCAATGAGCTTCCCCACTGCATGCTGCGCTCGTTCTCTGGCGCCGTGATGACAATGCGATGCGGATAGATCTTGCGAGCGGCCAAGGCGACCATGGACGGTGAGATGTAGTCAAGGCCATGGAGTGGGGCGAGCGTACTGCCACCATCAGCACCGCTCACTTCCCGGAGCATTTTACTTACTGTGCCAATGTGTTGAAGTGTCTCGTAGCCAATGCCGAGACTCCTCCTGCAACTGCTCGATGCAGTCTCATGAAAACGACAAGGTTATATAGGTAAGCCCGAACCTCCGAGCTGATCTTGACTTCCAATGTCAGCTTCGTCAGATGTGCGACATCCTACTGTTGTCAGTTGCTGTCTTCTGCCATGTTATCAGAAAGAAACTTGCCTCTGGCGTAAACAAGGCAGTCTGAGCCTTGTACTTTCCTGGCAAAAACAGAGGCGTGCGCACCACCGAAGATGTCGAGGCACCGTCGTGAGAAACGCCTTGCTTCTCCTGCAGCTCTTCAAGATTCGGTAGCCCGTCTTCAACCTGGTGCTTGTGCGAGATGAAAAACTGGTCATTCTATGACAGGTCAGAAAATGCTACAAGACAATGTACTGGTGACCTACCAAGTGCATTGTCAGTCGTGAACTTCCAGAGGCATTCAAGGCAATAAACAGGAACGGCTTCGGAGCAGCATGTACAGCTGTTCGGGTGAAGTTACGTTTTCCTCGCAGAAGCTAGCCAGTCGTTAGTCAAGAACAATGCGCAAAGTGGTCATCGAACCTCTAAAGCTTGGATTTGCACTTGCTCGCTTGTGTGGTTCAGATTTCTTGCGATGACGATATTTGCGATGCGTTGACTCTCCAGCGGGCTGATCGGGATGGGCGACTTGGATGTCCGCACATCATGAATTCCTGGCGTTACTGATAGAGATGAAAACTGCTGGTTTGTGAGCTATAGGCCTGCAGACCTACAAATACTGAGCCTACCTCGCCTCTTGCTCTTTCAGATCTGCTGTCGAAATATTCATCCTCCTCTTGCTGAATCAATATACCCTTCCCAAAGTCGTCCAAGGTAGTACTCTCATCGCATTCCAGGACTGCTGAAGCAAGCCCAAACGCGTTTGACGCGATCTGTTTTTGTCAGGCATCGTCAGACTTGATAAATCAAAAGGACCCACTCACCAGTCTCAATTCATCCTGTACACTGCGCGTACTTTCTGCCTCGGTCTCGATGATGCAATGTTGGTCCGCGACCAAGCAGATGAGAACAGCAAGCTCCAAATCGCTCAGCGACTGTACTTTCTCCGTGATGTCGTCGCCAGATGCATCCATCGTGAGGCAATCGTATTTACGGCTTGCACTACTTGTGCAGTCAATCCGGAAGCTAGCCGTAAGGTTCGAGGTTGAGAGCACTTGGTAGCCGTTCCTCCCACGCGACGTGCAGACAGGGGTTAGGTGACGCTATGTCAGATTAGGTTTAGAGCTATCGTAGATTTCAACTCCACCCATCAGACCACGGCATGAAAATAGCACGAGGGTCCTGAAAAGTTTTTCTCGTCTATCAGAGATGGATGTTCTTTTCCATATCCTATGAAGAAACCACTATCGACATGTTTGAGTTTCCAAATGTAGTATTATATTATCTAGCCTCAGAAAACGCCAACAACACCACAACAATCGGCCTAATGGCCCAATGGCAAGGCGCTTGACTACGATTTCATTCGATATCAAGAGATTCCAGGTTCGACCCCTGGTTAGGTCAATTTTTTTGCCATCCTGAGCACCTCGAAGTGTGTGCAGCAGCAGGATAAGGCGGCTATATCATGGCAGCAGATTTTTCACGTAACAGCACACTATGTCAACTTATCCGAGCCGGGGCTAGTCAGTAACCACCTCATTTTTTTTGACACTTTGAGCTAATAATTTCCAAATTTCGGTCGCTAGACAATTATATTGATCTTCAAGTTGGAGCATATTATAGACAAAGTACTCGACTCAGGCCCTTGAAAATCCTCCCTTTACATCACCATTCCTGCTCACGCCCCTCGTGCATCACTCTTGAAGTTCGCTAGACTTGTCTCCATCACCAGGAGTTTCCTTCTTTAGGGCGTAAACCAATCGAAGGCTCTTGTACGTATTCGAAGGAACAGGTCTAGGAGCTAGCGGCAAGTTCAAAGGCGGAAATGCATCGGTAGACTCATTCGCTCTGAGCACTCGATTGCGAGGAACTGACGGCGGAACCTGTTCGGTGGTTTGCTGGATAGCAGGCTGCTCTTGGCCGTTTCTCGGTGTCGTCGCCTTGCTGTTTGTCGCACGGCGCTGCTTGGATGAACGCGCAGACTTGAGCTCTTTCAGCAGCGTCTCAGCGTCTTGTATCTTGGTCTGCAGGTCCTTCTTCTTTGCCTGCGACTGCTGCAGGTTGGTCTTGGTGGTGCTCAGCGCATTCTGCCAGACTGCAACAAGGCCACCGAGATGCTCGAGTTCAGCCACACGCCGCTCATACAGTGTCGTTGCCGAAGAAGAAGAAGAAGAAGAAGAAGAAGAAGAAGAAGAAGAAGAAGAAGAAGAAGAAGA